GGCTTCCTGTCAATTGCCTTCCACTATGTAACACAAGAAATTAAACTGCTAACCATTTATGAATCCAAATCGAAGGCGAAACTGACATCCAATGCTCACTGTTTTTGAGAAGTATTTTTTATCATCTGATATCTGTTCACAACGAAATTCACACACGCTGAGAAGTGAATAGATTGACATTCAGTGACTGTCTTCAGAATAATCCAGAAAAGAATTTGAGTGATTTCAAGTTTGATCATGAACTAAGGCCTCAGTTAAAAAATACGTATGAAAACGTCTCAAGGAGCGCCGGAGAGCCATTTCGTCCTTGTTTGGGAATCTTTAGTAGTACGTACATGTGAATCCACTGAGGATCGAAACCAGGACCTCCAAGTTACAAAGTGATTTCGTTGACTATTTATTGAACCACTAGAACTGGTACAAATAGCTGGCCCATACACTCTAACTTCTGACAATTAGCAGTGTGCCTCGTGATTGTCAGCTTATGTCATCGGCGGCCATTTTTCCCCCACACCCAACTTGGTGGACCCCATTTATTGGTCATGACTTCCTACTAGATCCTCAAGCAACTTCATTCTGTAGTCATTCACTAATAAGCACTACCAAGTGTTCTACTGAAGAGTCTTAAAGTAGGACAAAACCTCTGTTTAGTGCTGTCTGGTGACTTTCAATAGTTCTCTCACTGATGTGTCACTTCGTGGTCAAACTTGAAATCAATCAAATTCCTGCAAATCAACACTTGAAAGCTAATCTAATATGCTCACTTGTGCTTGAATACAGGATGAAGTTGACAGAAGTCCTATTGGGAAGTCATGACTAGTGAGCGGGATTCATCAGGTTTGGTGTGAAGACATACTCACAAATGATATTATCTGGCGGTTGAAATATATATCGCAAATTCAGTAAACTGGTAAAATAACGACAACATATTGCACTGTTATAGAATTCCTTCTCCGCTTACTAACAACAGTATAGTCAGTTCATAAGTGACACACTGCAAGCATCCTAAGTGCAGCCACAAATTCCGTTACCTAATCTGTTATCACATCAAGTAAATGAAATGGAAGTGTAATTCGACACTGGACGATAAGCTTATGGTGATAAAATCAAAAGAACACGTCATGCTACTTATTACTTAGCAAGTAGTATGAAGAAAATACAAAAGATACATACTGACACCCAATAAGTTTTGGGCCTTAGGGGGTAAAATTCTCTGAATGATAAACATATTTTATACCTTTATCGTTTATCACAGGCTTAAATATAACACTCATGCGCTTCTTTCAAAAGAAATCGTATTATTATGTCAATTAATATTTGGTGTTACCGAGTAGAATTCCTAACTTTTATGTTTTTAAAACTGATGTAAACTTCGATATAAGAATAGAACATGTTCACTGTGGTAGAGTATAATTCATATTTTAAATCACCGAAAATACCCATTAAGCCATGAACGACATAAAAGACAGTTCAGCGAAGAAAATTTTCCTTACTGAAAAAATCATCTTCAGAGGCTGTATAGTCGTACTTATATTGACCAAAAATGTATCGTAGTCCATTATTGAGTAACAGGGGTGATGTAATTGATATAATTACTTAGAAGTGGTTTCGACAAAAAAAATTAAAGTTACAAATTACGCATTACTCAACGGCACAAGGGAAGTAAGCGTTAGAAATTTGATAAGGTTGTTACTGGGTGACAAGAAAGGTAGTTGAGTGTCCATCTAACGAGTGTGAAGAGGGTGAGAAAATGTAAAAAGAAAGATGTGAGTGATAATAGTGAAATAATTATTAAAGTAAAAGCAAACTAAAAGCAACATCAAAAAATTTACAGGAAACGACAAGTGAAGAGGTTAAGACCATGGTAGAATAAGACACTGTACAAACTTTTTCTGCACATTGAGTTTGGGGTTCTGTTGACGAATTGCCAACGCCTCCGCTATACACAAATAACGGAACCTGACTTCCTTTGTACCATTTGACCTCAACTTTTAGATAATCTTGAAAGACGACCCTGGTGGAGCTACGTGGCTTAAGTTTACCAAGTGCTCGAGAATTGAGCTAGTAACTGAAATTCATTATCCTTTTGCTAACCATGCGTTATAATGTTCAGAGATGCGTTTGGAAAGTGCGCACTTTATGCTGCCAATATAAATAGCTTCGCAGGAGCAGGTGAATTTATAATTACACACTGAAGTGGCCCAAAGTGGCAGTTTATCCTTCACACATCCATTATCATTTGTCAGTTGTAAAAACTGGTCCATAGCTCACTCAGCCAAAAAGAAGGCTTCTCTCATTGGTCTACACAAGCGGTTCTTCAGGATCTCAGGAGTGGTATCACCTTTAAACTCAGCGATCATAAATAGCAGTTTCTTCAGCACCGTCTGGGTTTTTCCTGGTTTTTGCCTAACTTTCATGTTTTTCTGGATCAATCTTGAAGGATATCAATTTTTTCCGTGAGTGCTCGTTTGAGTACCTCCAGTTCACCATATATTGTATCACTGGTACATATCCTTCTTATCCTTGAGTATAATGAGTCGATCACATTTCCCTTTCTTCTCAAACGGACCCAACTTCGAAAATTCATGTATTGACCATTCCATGTTGGTTTCCTGTAGATTGATCTCCGAAGAGAACCGTCAGATCTCCTTTTTAACAAAACGTTCAAAAAAAATGAAATTTCCATTTCATCTCTGATTCCGACGCGAACTGGATAGCATGATGGAAGTTGTTGAACTCCTTAGTTATCATCTTGATGTCGACATTCTCGTCACATGTAATGAAAGTATCACCCATGTATCTTTGGTACATATGCCAACTATCGATAGTGGGTCGTAAAATACTATGCTCTAGACTTGTTATGAAGCAGTCTGCAAGTAAAGGACCCAATGGTGACTCCGTTGCCACTCCATCTCTTTGTCTATAGACAGTGTTGTTGAACTTCAATTGGACATTGAAAGTGCATCTCAATAGTATTCTTGTTCTCATCTATACTTCCAGCAGATTGAAAATAATTTCCAGATTTCTTATTCCTCCCCACTGCAACTTGCAGTTATTGGTCTTATCCGCTAGACATGTTCTATGATGAAGTCAGCCCAATTTCCAATGGAGTCAAGTTTCACCTTCACACATTTGTTTCTGAAAGACTTAACGGAGTGTGGCCACCTGTAAATCGCAAACTAGAAGTAAACAACTGTTTTGTTTCTTCTCGGCTTCCAGTGAGATCGATAGGTGGTGTCAATTTGTGAAGAAAAATAATTACTCGGAAGTCAGTTATTCTCTATTATGAAAATACACGAATTCATTACTTTTCAGTAAGTTATACTGAGGATGAAATGTTTGCAGGAATCGATGTAGCTGTATGTTCTCTGGTTGGCTTCATAGCTGAAGTAAGCTTTTAGAATTCTCCACGGTCTTAAAAAACATCACTGGTGATAACCTTGAACATGACAAGTTATCTCTGCAGATTTTCTCATCCTTTTTGAACACATGCATTGGTAATAATTATTTGATTGATTTGACACTTCCCCCCTTTAGTCCATGTGACTGGTTTTTTATTGCTCGATAATCTGATTTGCATGTCAATAAGTCATTTGATTGCAAATTCCGTCTCAATTCCAGAATTCTATAAATTCCCCAGTATTCTCGGTGTTTCTCCTGTCTATGATATATACATTTTTTCAGTGAAGTGACTGTTTTCGTGGTTGTGAGACATGCGTTCATATTGATGGAGTGGTTATCGTGTCTTCCGCTGGCTAGTTTATGTTCGTGAGTGCTAGAAGAAACAAGACGTGATATGAACTTGTGCAAGGCTACGTCGTGTGAGGAAGTGTTTGCTATAATGCCCATTCCAGGTAGATATAACGGTAAGGTTGTTCAAACCTGTGCCATTTTGGATAGTGGGTCAAATACAACGCTTGTCGCAGCGGGTCTGTCGAAAGAGTTAGGTTTAGGAGGAACAACTAAAACAATTTCTCTCAAGACACTGGACTCACAATGCACAATATCCTGGGAGCAGTTGTACCAATTGTAGGTTTGTTCTCCAAATTCCCCCATTCATGTTGCTGTTTCGAAGGCATGTGTATTATAGAGACTGTTCCAGTTGCAAAGAACTATCCCAACAATAGATCAGATGGCATCACAGAGCCACTTACATGCAATAGTTCTACCATAGGTTAAGAATGGAGAGGTCAAGATGCGTATTGGCTGTAACGTGCCAGAAGTACGTGTAACGATTGATAATAGGTTCAATGGAGCCAATGAACCTTACGCCATAAAGAATCCTTTGGGTTGGAAACTACTGGGACCTTACAATAAGACCTTTGAAGGAACTATTATGGTGAATTATACTTTATGCACAGAAAAAATAGAAGTTACGTCCGGACAGTTTTATAAGAACGAGCTTAACGACGCGAATAGTCACGTATCGATGTCCGTAGAAGATCATGACTCATGTATGCATATGTGTGAGTCACATTTTATTTCGGAATATGAAATTTGTTTTCACGAGTTGATCACGGACTGATATCAGTTAGAGAACCATTGAAAACCAGGGAGCACTGGACAGCTAGGATGAAACAGCAGCTGTTCAGTACTCCCTGGTTTTCAATGGTTCTCTAACTGATATCAGTCCGTGATCAACTCGTAAAAACATAACAAACCCTTACAAACCAAACTTTAGAAAATATGAAATTTGTATTATGAATCTTCTTTCCACTGAGATTACTGATCTAATAAGTTGTTTATTGTCTACCTACGAGAGACCCGTCGTTATATCTAGTGGTACTGATCGTCAGCAAGCAAAGCGTATTGACTCTGATATTTCTTTAAATGCACAGCTTTCAGATATTAATCCGGATAATTCACAGATCAGTGATGATCAGTGATAATTAGCACAGAGACGATCTCATATATTTTAGATAAGCGATTAGATGAACCATCGGTTGCAATGGGGTACTTCAAAGAATAACACCAAAAGAATACAAGATGAAATTATTTATGTGACAGAAAATTATTTTCAATACATTCAAATACTAAATTAATAAAGAAGTTTTTACTTTTATTAAAAATTCTTCAACTTTTTTTTTACAGCACACAACAAATACTACTTATATTTCTGAGTCTTGACGATCATCATTCTGACGATAGTCTTTTATATGTTGTCTACTATTATGAATTAAGTTATCACCAGTACTTTCACTATAACTGTAATCACTGAATTTCTCAATCGATGGTGGGGGTACATCTAGATTTGATTGTAGTTGACTATGTTGATCACTGAATGGATGACTTTTTATTGATTTATTGTCATCTAATGCCATTGTAGACACAGGGACAACTTCTTCAGGCCAATGACTTTTAATTAACTTCCAACGACGACGTGTTTTCACTTTAGTACTCATTGGAAATTCTAATACCCAATTTTCAATATCACGACGCAGTTCACGACAGATTAAACCGAATGAGATGGCTGCAAGTAGTGAAGTGAATGCAGACAGGATGGCGAATCCATACGACCAAGATGGCCAATTCAATATTGGATATGGCATCCATGTCTCGGTTTGATAATTAACACCGAATATAATTACAGCGATAGTCAGTAAAATGGCTGGAAACAAAAAAGACAGAAACATAAAAACAACACAAGTAAAAAGTAGGTTGGATATATGAAATTTAATGTGATTCTGTGGTATTTTTTTAAATGAAGGTTTTTAAATCTATGTGGATGTGTTAGCAGCGTAAAAATAAATTCAAAAATATTTTGGATGAGATCAAGAGATAACTAAGTGACATTAGTTGAAGAATACCCAAAAAACCAGGAAGTACTGAACAGAGCTACTTTGGGACTCTTCAGTAGTACACACTCATTACTCCACTACAATCTAACTAGAAATCAATCAAATTCCAATGCGAAACAATACACTTGAGAATTAATCTAATGCTCAACACTGACTGAATACAGGATGAAACGAAGGGTACTGAGTTCGAGTTTCAGCTGGGATACCATCAATCACTGGAGATTACAGGTAAGTCCAGCTGAGAACTCCCAGATACGACGAAATGAGCATCCAGGACCCCACTACTGGTCACCATCCACCAAATAACTTCATGTTAATTCCCAGTAATCGTTGGAAGGTCGTTAGTAGGAGCCGTATCAACAAAGGCTGAACATTTCGGTTCAATCGATCAATGGGAAAATCGAGATTGACTTAAAAACAAGTCATTCTATGCAAATGCTGATAAAAGTTTATTATATATTCTTAGCTAAAAGGACCACGGTGTCACAGATGTAAACAGGAGATTAATCAGCACAACAAAGTATTGTATGACTATGAGATAGAAGTGATTTTGGACAAGGGTGATACAATTTCACTACTACAATGTGCGTATATATTATCCTTCAAACTCACAAAATAGACTTATTTAACATGGACCAGAGAACTGTTAGTCAAATCGGAACAACAGTCGGATTATCCAAAAACACGAGATATGCGTTGATATAAGAATAGAACTGGGGCGCTATGGTAGAGAATATTTCCATCATAGAGTAAATTTATTCGATAAAATCACACGGTGATACAGCATTTTTACCAATGACATTTTGGGCAAAATTTATTGCTCATAATCAATATTAAGGCGCCAATATAACTTATCTCTTGATCTCTGTCTATATACATAATCGACTGCAGCCATCTAGTTTGCTGTGAAGAGCAAAAAAACCCACCGAGAGGTAGTCATTTTAACAGGTGACTTTACAGCTCGAGTAAGCACACAGTGCCAGTTAAAAAAGTTTACTGGTAGAACTCGTAAAGTTCCATGCCGACGAGCAAACAATGCTGGTTGTCTTCTAATGTTCTGTTCAGATAATCACCTGTCCCTCATCAGCATTTAAATCAAACATAAGGAAACACAATACCTAACCTTACATCAACAATGGACTCAAATAAACCACATAGCGATAAGCTATCGACGTAGAAGGTTAGTGGAATATTATCGCTCCTTCTAGAAAACCGGGGTAGACTTTCTTTAAGCTCTAGTCCGTGCACGTATACTCCTGAAAATAAACACAAATGAGACAGAAAGCTGTGAAGCCTGTACGCCCCAACTTGATGAGAACACAATGTCTCTATTTAAGGAAGAAACAGCTAAACGCGTCTCTGAGACTGATAGCAAGACGATCTGAGGAAGCCTGGTATAATATCCACTCAAATGTAAAAGCATTGGTTAAGGTTATCCATATAAAACCAAAGGTTAGAAAATGTCACTGGATTTCTACTACCTAGTCCAAACTGATCGATGCAAGAAGACTGATTTGGATGATCTCGAAACATGCTTAAATACAAGCTGACTAAAAGTCTCTGCGACGGCGAACAATGGTAGACAACAAAAGCCAAAGAGGTGGAAAAAACACCTGCGGTAGGTAATACCAGACAACTTTTAGGCTTATTAGGGAAACTGGTTGTAAAAGACAAATGACAAGTGAAACAATTATCTAGAAAAACGATGCTTAAATTACTTCTCACAATAAACAACTGGAACATTAGAGCGAACACTTTGAGAAGCAATTTAACTGGTCTACAGACATAATAAATTTGCCCAGCATTCAACACCTACGTGAACGGGATGTAGACGTTGGTCTCCCAACCGTTACTTAGGCTGAAAAACCTGTCTCTAATCCGAAAAAAGTCGAAGCAGCGGAACTTGCTGGAATGAATTCAGAGGCGATTTTCGATGTTGATGACACTGAAATCTGAAATGATCCCATTGGACTGGTGTAAACCATTGATTATCCCAGTTTATAAGAAGGTAAATACATCTTCCTGTGGTAATAGTAGGAGGATCAGCTTGACTATCACGATATCTCAAGTTCTGGGCTCAATAATCATGCGTTCATTTGAGCGATGCTCGGGAAAAACAAGCTCAAGTAGGCTTTAGACCAAAAAGAAGATATATGTCCACCCTTAGACAGATTTTGAAAAATAGGCATAATCACCGGTGTCTAGCACTTGCCAGGCATCTAAATCCATCGACCTTAAAGTCTTGTGGTAATGTCTAACAGTGAAGAAAATGTCGAGAATTTTTATCACACTAATCAAGGCGCTGTCACGCAGCCTTGTGAGAGCTTATGGAGCGATGTAAACCAGTATTATTCACTAAGGCTGCCCATTGTCCCATTTTTGTTTAATTCCACCGTAGGTATATTATTGGATATGACCCTAATCAACGGCAGTGAATCAAGGATTGACTCATTACGAAGAGACAATTTCTCCGACTTAGTGCGTCGGTGATATCGTCCTTCTCGGTGAAAACACTGATGAAATGCAGTTTTCTGAACACTTAAAGCAGAAATCTACGTGTTTGGTATGCAGTAAGTTCCTTTAAAGTACACGATGATGCTATACGACTGGTCTGCGCCTAATCCTAGTTTAAAAATGGGGAATGGAACGGCATAGCGTGCTGATCACTCCACTTGCTTGGGAAGTTGTATCAGCCTTAATGAACTGATTGCTGACAAAATCTCAGCACAGATATTAAAAGTTCATATGACATTTACCGACTTACTTCATCTCTGAGATATAGATGATATCCGGCTATCGATCAAAGAGCCTGTATACGGTGCACCAGCTTACTCTATCCTTTACGGCCATGAGACGTAGCCGTTGAAAGAGGAAAATTTGAAGTTGCTTGTCTTTAGCGATAGATGTTCCGATTCCATCTTCAGCGTTAAGTGGTATAATATGGTAGGCTAGGCGTACAGTGCCAGGTAAGGACGGTAAGTTTGTAGATGAAATTGTAAGGCCAAACTGATTGGGGTGTTCAGAACACATACTATGCATTCCGATCCATTGTCGAGAAGTGTTGGCTGACACAAGATTATGTTAGAAGTGTGCCAGACACACTTTTGGATCCTGAGGAAGGAACTTTGAACCGATGTGCACAATGGGGTATTTCAATCTCCTAAAACAGGCCAGTTGTTGTATTTTTTCGTTTTATTACGTATCCTAACTACGAAGTGAATAAATTCGTCTATCAGACCGATAAATCATACCTGTTAAAATTTAAACTACTTGAGACAAGTTTTAAAAGTAGTAATCCCACAAAGCCTTCACTATCGTATACTTTTGAGTTCAGAGATCGTATTCAGAGACAGTTAATGAGATACAACACAGTATCAATCAATGGTTACGTCCTGACTGCTTATTCAGGCTAAATTCCAGTGGGATGCATGACGGTTGAAATTAATTATTCTCATGATGCACCTACCGTCTGAAACTAATTCGTAATGCCACAGATGCTGAAACAACTTTCCAACCGAAGTCTTTGAACAATCATTTTCTGAAGCCTGACTATCTGAAATACACGATTCATAGTGTTTTACTACTTTACTTCTTTATTTAAAATTCGACCACTACATTCCACTTCTTAAGTTACATCATTCAGACTAGACTGTATTCCCTGAGTCTTGAGACGTTGATCAGCAATCTAATTCTACTTCTGAATATTCATTTGATAGGCATCACTACCACTACCTTACTTTTTATTTATGTCGACCCTCCTACTACTTACTCCTCAGAAACTATGATGGAGAATTCTCTCTCAAGTATTAACAGGACTTGAGTCACACACATATTTCTATACAGATTCAGGCGCAATTTATCCTTGAAAACTGTGATTCATTATATATTGTTTCGTCAATTTCTAATATCTAACTATGTATTAACCTTTTTTCCAAACTAAGTAAAATAAGCTTCCCCTTCTCTGTAGACATACCGATCAAACAGCACTGATTTATCAAGTGACATAGGCTACTGTAACTCAATCCTTCTTGGATAATATTTCAAAGCCTATATTGAGATTACCTGAGGCATTCTTGGCAGATTACATACTATTAGCAATATAATAAGGTGAATCTAAATCTGTATTTTGTATTTTTGAAGGCCTGGTTGGTTCCATAGACCTTAGAGAGATTTTCCGAGACCATCAACGCATTTAGCTTAGTCAAAAATAGGAATGACAAGAACTTATTAACCTGATGGTACTTGTGACGTTAGAGGTTTTTATAATCAAAATCAGTAAAAACTAGAAAAAAAGCATCCAAGTAGCCAGCCTTTATCTTAAGAAGGAGTCGTACACTCTATGAAGGGTTCAAAGGAAGGCAGTAAGCATGATCCATACGAGTAAAAAAGACTTAACAGTTTGAATCTCTTCTCATTAGCGTATCGTAGGCAGAAGGATCTTATTACCTTGTTCGAAATTCCAAGAAATCACTATGGACCTGATCTGTCTCTCCTTTTCCTTCCCTCCAGGTAGGAATATCTTAAAGTATGTAGCGGGAGAGTTAAAGAGCCAAGGGGGAACTATGTAGCTGTAGAGTACTGGTTCTCCCACCGAGTTGTAAACTATTGGAACCGACTCCCAGAAGTGGTATCTGTGGCCTTCACCAACCAGTCAAAGAGATCAGGTAAGCACAGATACTTATTAAAAATGATTAACACGGACATAAAGCCCTGTATCTCCAATCAAAATTCAGAATATGAATTCGAATGAAACTCATCTCTATAATTGCTTAAGAAGCAATGCATAAGATTCATTATTGGAAACAATATTAGGGAAACAGTATGTTTTACACATCTAACAGCGGTATGCAGATGTACAACACAAACCAGGAACTACCACAATGAATGTCTTAAGTACTCGCAAACAAGTAATCGGGTAAGCAATATTCGTGAATATAGTTGACCATACTTATCAAGACATTACTTAGTAATATAAAACCAAAACCTCTAAAAAAATAACAGTGTACGACACTGGAAAACATGCAAAACGAATGTTTTGCTGCCCAAACTGTACGCATGTGGTGATGGATTATTGTTCTAACATGTTCTAGGAATTAAATGTCTTCATATACATGAAAGGTTTTCTCAGTGTAAATCCAATAATTTGTTGAGCTTTATAACCTCAGATGGCTGAAAAAAGGAATTTCAATCTCTGATATAACCCTAACCTAGCAGAGATACAAAAGCAATATCTGAAGATTATAAAAGTGAAAGATACTCACATGACGATGAGTGGCAAAATGTGATCAATGATAAGAAGAATGTTTTGCGTTCCACATGCCTGATTCTTTTGCACATATATGCAATCAAAGTAACCACTGCGATGGCTTCCAGACAAAGGGATATCGTTACCAGAACTTGTATGATCAGAAACCAAACTACAAGTAATTCAATCGTCCAATGGAACTTAGATGATAAGAAACATACATGGAACCAAATCCGTATATATTTTCCGAAAATATGGAGAAAGAATCCACCAGCAACCGTAATATGATATCATATTTGGATCTAGACGCTGTACAAATCCATTAACGCAAAATTCCCACAATCCTAAACGGACAAAAGGTGTGTGTATTCTTGGCCACGACTGTAACCAATAAGGAGTAACAAAAGATACAAGAAGGAAAACAAAAGCTGCATATGATGAAATATATGCAACTTTATACCTCCATTCACTGAAAGGAGAGTGCTTTATCCTCTGTTTAACCCTCATGCGGAAATTAGGAGTTTAAAAATCCGCTGAAAAGGATAAACAAAATTCAAGCATTAAAACAACTCCCTTCTAGGGAAAACAGTTACTTTTTGACAGCGGTACTATTGAGGAAGATATCCTTAACTTAACTTATGGTCTCAAACAGGTTACTTCGGATCATTTAAAGTCGTAGCTGTCAACTGAAACATAGCTTGCGGATTTCGCTATTTTCCTAGGTAACCTCATGGCCTATAGAGGCATCCCAATAAATGCAAGTGGAGCAAATCAATTATATTCTAGCCATCTTGGTGAATTAAATACTAGATGCTTACTTATTCGACTGTACGTAGATGTGATCAAGTTGAATAGCTGCATGAATAAAGGTGAGTCATAGTTAGAGTCCGTAGCGGCAGGTAATTCCCCAGAATTATTGGCCACAGCATTCATCACTGAACATTGGATGCTGACTCTCAATGTTTAAGTCGAATTTTTTAGCTGAAGCCTTCCAGGAAATTTCAGAGTGATCTCGAATGCCACTACTGACGCTGCGCACTAGGAGCAAGTTCGGGTAAATTTTTGAATATACAGTTTCTCCATCTCAAAGTACTCTGTATAGTAGGTTTATTCTGGAGTGGTGTATTGACTGTCAGTTAAGTCATCCTACCATTCCACTGGCTAGAGGATGGTAGGCTATGAAGTGGGTTCTGTGTGATCCCAGTAGTTTTGGTAAGATGATGAACAGTTCTGATCCGGGACAAGCACCCCTGTGGCTAACTAAGGTCACTCCGAATATAGACACCTAATTTTTAAGAAAAGTCTCTACCACCGTTTCTGTTGTGATGTTATGGAGTCATACAGCTACAGAAAATCTGCTACACCTTTCACTATAGGTACTGATCACGTGGAACACTTGGAATCTGATAGGGAGTAGAACGACAATCCAAAAATGTAGAATGTGCATCAGTCAACCTTCGTCTACCGGCATTCCACGAACTCTTCCGCCCATTTATATGCGTTCAGTTGCAAGTTACGCCGACATGAGAAGAAAATGACTGAGGCTTCCACCCCAGAATCCAAAAATAACTAAAAGCTGTGAAACGTGAATTTCCTCACAATTTTAAGAACGAATGGGCCCGGAAAAGGTTCATTACCGTCAGAGTAAGTTTAATTACTGTCCCCAAGATATGGCGACTAATAAGTCATCGTAGCTCTGCGGCCAGAAAACCAGAGTACCTCGCTAAAATCAACGTTTGTGTTACATTTTTGCTTGGTAGCGATTTATGTCTATTTTTGCTGTGAGACTCGCACAAGTGTTTCTCCAGTTCCATAATAATAATAATTTATATTTCGTATAAACGGGTAAGTTCACAAGAAATGCACGCCATTTTTACAGGTATGATCAGTAGTGTTATAAATCACAATCCTGAAGTATCATAAATTAATACTTTTTCAAAAGTTTGAACTGTTCAGTTATTGTACAAGCAATCAGAACAAGTTCTTATAAATGTTAAATTGTAAACCGTTTACTAAGGTCACTATCAAAGTTGAGCGACAACCCAAACTTCCTTCCGTTTCCTGCTGATCGTTATGGTCAACCAGTGAACAGCGTATATCTGGGTGAGTGCTATGCCGCCACGTGATTGAACGCTATTTCAGGAAGAGTAGAAAATTCTGTGCGTCGGTGGCACAGTGGTTAGGACTCTCGCCGACCATGCACATGGTCCGGGGTTCGATCCCCTGCCGGCGCACACCCGATATCTATGGTCGGCCTGAATTTGGGCTACCGATATCCATGCTGAAAATTCCACACTTGTACTGAAAATACGGTGTGGAATCAAGCTGTAAATCAAAATAAAATAAATAAAATGGTATAAAATGCTATTATGAATAGTACATTATTGGAAGTATATTTACAAGATAAATACAAGCAGAACAAGCTGTATGGTACTTGAAATGATAGTTTACACTTGCAATGTTTAATGCTAACCATATTGGTCTAAGCATGGAAACTATCACGTTTCCAATGAAAATATAGCTTTGTTCAAACATTGGTGTTGTTGTGTTTTTAATCAAGTGACCAATAACTTTCACTAATTAGTTATGGTTAATCATATAAAAAAGCCATGAACTCAGTCACCTGTTAACCTGGTGACTGATAGCACGTATGTGCTTGCAACAACGAGCAACACAACTCCCACAAAATATGGAAGTGATACTCACAGCTTACCAATATGCCGCAAGCTTCGGGCTGCTGTGTCACTACCATCTACTGTGGCTGGAACTGACAGCAAAAATATGCTGACAAATAGTGGTAGCATCTCTTCTAAAAACTCAGCACCTGGCCCTTACAAAGACCTCTTCAATTCACCTTATGTACGTGTCACAAAACTTCAGATATCAAGTCCAGCTTCAACACTTACTTCGGAAATAGAACGACTAAAGCTGTATATAGAAGCACTGAAGACTAAGATACGGGATATAAGCTGCAGTATGTCTATGAGTACAGGATGTTCAGAAAATTTGGCCAGCATATCTGAACTATCAACACAGATTAGTGACATAAAATCACAGGTCTGCGAACTTGCACCTCTGAACACCCTGACCAGGACCATAAGCCCTGGCGAACTTGACACAGAATCAGTAACTAAGGTAGACACCTTGACAAACTTCATCACAAATGACGTTGTCAAAAGACTAGATGCTGAACTAAGTGTGATAGTCTATAATACACCATATAATGAGGGGTTGACAAAGGTTCAAAGTATCTTACTTGGGTCGGCGAAAATGCCTAACTCCCAAACAAAAGTTCACAGGCTGAAAAAGAGTCAGCACCACCATTGCTTCCTTATACGCCTTCAGTTTGAAACACAGACAGGGGCTAAGAAATTCACCAGTACACAACGTATCCTATTACAGGACACGAGCTGCAAGCAAATAAAATTTGCAGCAGATATGACAGTGATTGAAAGGCGTGCTTACAATCACCTCACTAAACTTAATGGCAAGACACCGCAAGTCAACACAATAGATAAACAGACGACCAACACGGTAGAACTCATAGTCTAAACAGAACACGATGCCAACCGAAAGACTTCTGAACTATAATCTTACTTTTAAATTAACTCCTCCTCCCTCTGCCGTGGATCTGCATATGTCTCTGGATAGCCCTAAAACGGAAATCAATCCCTCTTGTAAGTCGACAACATCCTTTCTTAGCCATAACGTGAGAATTCAAGTGGAATTCGGAAACAAAACATGCCGAAATACACCACTTGTTACGTAAAAACCCCGACATTTTCAAACTCCAAGGAAGAATTCACGTTGTAAGGTAAACAATATTCAAAAATATGCTAACAAACAAATTAAAAACACGAATAAGGCCATAGGGTCCACGGAAAATAACGACACGAGTTGCTCGTATACTATGCCAAGTCACACTACTGGCTGGTGTAGTGACACTATTGTAAAAGTGGTAACACTCAGAGCTCAGCTAGCAACCACTCTGAGTCTTCAGAGTGTGACACGCAAACAAGCTTCGACAGAATATACGGAACAAGTCTTCTGGGAATCAAACCACAGTGCAGCAATGAATATAACGAAACCCGAGTAAGGTCACTTAGAATGTCTCCAAACAATAGGTAGATTAATAATTCATGGGCGTCACAAGGTACCAATGATTTTTTATCCACCACATCCCTGTCAACGCTGACCAAACAACTGGTGGGATTGCTAACTCTTCTGAACCCGCACCACTACTCTCGGCTCCCTATTGGGAAGAAGACAGACACAAGCTAGTGCACACGGAATTGTTAATCGCATCCAATGCTTGCACAAGCATAGGCCAAATAAGAACTCCTACCCAAGTCTACAACCTATCAATTCGTAGAACTACCTTATCCAGTAGTGAATCAAATTATAAAACTCGCTATTCACGAAAAGAGGTAGATAATAACTCGATAGACATAGGTGAACATGGTATTCACACTAATTGCAACACAGGGTTGTTATGCCATGCTGAACCAGTGGATGCCGATCCACACTTGAGTCTGACTGATGACCTTAAGTACTTCAAACACTACTTCAACTCTCAACTGTACCTAATCCCTATTATTGCTAGATCTATCGTACACTAACTACCGATGCTCAGGGTACACAAGCTGGTATACAAACCCCAATAATTATTCCTACTGAATCTTGGTGTCACTCCAATATACCAGACGAAGAAATATGTATCGATGGGTACACTCACTTTCGATGTGGCAGGAACAGTGGTAAAGGAGGAGGCCACCTAATGTACTTCCTGAACACACTGAATGTATTACGGCTAGAAAATAGGGAACTCAATGACACGCACGACACCCTGTGGGTCAACGTACACTTCAAAAGTACTACACTACTAATAGGATGTATCTACAGAGCACCTGGTACCTTTAGTGGTTACGAGACACAACTTACAAATGTACCAAAGCAAGTATCCACTCTTCCATACGAGCATAAGATCATATGTGGAGACTTCAACCTACCCGAAATCATTTGGAAATTATTAACAGGCCCAACTAAATATGACAAGCCCTTAGGTACAGTGGACATTTTCGGCTGGAAACAAACTGTCACTATCCCCACAAGAGGTGACAACATACTGGATTTAACATTCTGACGGAGAAACTGCCGAGATGAGTTGAAGGACTTCTTTGGCCCCCTACAGGGTAAAGGATGTTTAAAACAAACTATGAGAGTGGCTGAATAAATTAAGTCTTCTCACACGTAGATACCGTCGACCTAGAAGCGACTCAATTTCTGCCAATTAGACTACAAATGACTAGATTCCCTAAAGCAAGGTATTCTGCCGTTAAGTGGGCATATACTTTCTCGTGGCAATCCAGGAAGTATAGCACATCAGAGACTAAAGAGTTGAGAGCGTCTCCATTCCCTTCCACTTCCAGTTGCCGCCTCTGGAGCTCTTTGCTAGCGGAAGTGGCTACTGCACAGTCCGTCAAAAGCTTTGAGCAGAGGCTTGACAATCATTTATGGAGACAACAACTGCGTCAAACGGCACATCCTCGTTTCACTTATTTTATCATAATAATGTTCCATTCGTCCGTCTTTCTTTTTCTGGGTCTACATGGTCTACAACAATTGTATCTATTATTATCAATGTCCCTCTCTCAGACCATGCCAGATGACACGGCCTTAACAAACTGCATACCAAAAACTACATATAACCAATCTCAGTACCCCTCCGTTTGGAGTCAACCAAAGCTACGAGAGTTGAGTGGATGAACGAACTACGCAGAAGGTTTCCGAAGACCAGGAGCCTTTACCTCACAACCAAGAAGCAAGCATAACGAAATCAAATGGGTTTACACTAGCTCATGGAAACGATATTGGCACTGATATCTTAATTTTTGGAAGGATTAAGGTTTAACATGCGTGGTCGAAGATTGAAATTCGCACCAGCGTTAACGGCATAAGTCTCTTTCTAACGTCAGAATGTAAACTGTAAAAAATTTTCACAAATTATCGCAAACACTAGGGCCATAATGCTACAAGTTCACTGAAGCAAGAGAGAACTTTGAAAGGGGAGTGAATTTGCACGCTGTCAAGGAACTTAGCCCAAAATTCTTATTATTTGCGAGGACGCTCCGAATTGACAATTCCACTTGGTACGATTATTGACTTTAACCCCAAAACACAAGGACCGATAAGAAATTGTATTGTTCGGCAATTAAAGTCAATACTCTATACAAAGTCTAAAAAATGTTTTACAAGGAATGTACCGTACTTTTATTCGTATTCCTTCGTCTTCTCCCAACTTGTACACGATCGAATCACTCGTGCCTTCGAGTTGACCGCCAACGGCGACCAAGGCCATTGTACAGACGTTCAACGTTCACAATCAACGATACACGCCTTTGTTTAATTTGAGCTTTTGCTGTGTCATACAATCCAAAAGTCTGAATACCAACTTTAACTCAGTTTATCCTGATCAAAGTTAGTGTTCTTTATGGTTTTTAGTCTATTTCCTCATCGTCTTCGTAAACTTCATCAAAGTCTTCGATAAAATTCCTCACAAAAGACTTCACGAACCTGGAAAGTCCTGGTATCAAAGGCAGCTTACTAAGCTGGATCGGGGATTCACCTACCTACTGTCATAGGTAGGAGGCGGAGGGCCAGGACCAACTCGAAACTCTCTTTCTGGACAGCAGTGTGTAATGCAGTGCCACAAAGCACGGTACTCGGGTTTCTCTTATTTAATTTGTATATAAATGGGTTATCTGTGCTCACGGATTCCCCAGCGGTTCTATACTCAGATGAATTAAAAATATAGGGGGAGCTGGAGAGTGGTAATGATACGCTCACGTTGCAAGAGGGCCTCGAAAAATTGCCAGAATGGTCCAGAGAATGGATGCTCACAATCAATGTAGTGGAATGTGAAACCATACGCATTAGACACACAAGCATCAGCCCCAACGAACTAGAGAGAATAAAACTTCCGTCAGTCCAAACTCACTTAGATTTAGGCGTCAGGGAAAGTTACGATTTAAAAACTACAACACACTGCCACGTCATGGCGGCACTTGGTTTTAGATCCTTGTGGGCGATTCTCAGAGCCTTTACCAGAATCACCAGAGATATTCTCATCTCCTTATATACATCTCTGGTGAGGTCAAGACTGGAAAACTGTATCCAGGCAGCCAGTCCTTGTCTTAGAAGAGACTCACATATTGTAGAAATGGTTCAAAGGAGGGCAACACGTATGATTCTTGGCATGATTAATCTATCATATGAGGAAAGACAAGACAGTTTAAATCTCTTCTCCCTATCATACTGTAAGCAGAGAGGAGATTTAATTAGAACGTTTAAGACTTTGAACAATGACTACGGACCTGATCTATTCTTTCTTTTCCTTCCCACCAGGTCGTAACATCTTGGAGGAGATAGCAGGAGAGTTCAAAAGCCAAGTATAAACCATATTGCTCCGGAGTACTTGTTCCCACACCGAGTCATAAACCCTTGGAACCGACTCCCAGATGAAGTGGTGTCAGCAACCTCAATTGACGGATTAAATAGGGGTCTGAGCAAGCACAGAAATTTACTGGAAACGGATTAACGTAGGCTTCAAGCATTCTGTCCTCAATCAACAAATCTAAAATCTATAACCGCGCTTTTTAGTAGGCCCGCTACGGTACTCGGAAAAGTGTGAGTGCATAACATCCCCTAACTGACGCTGCACTTTATGTTTACTAATGGTACTAAAACCCCTAGTTTAAACAACGCTTAATGACTAGAGGAATATATGTGGGAATTACCATCAGTGAATTCAACTGTAATTTAAGTAAATGTTAAGGATAGACGAGCGTATGACACATGAGCTGAAAAATACATTTTGTGACATATCTGCATCCGAAACAACTGTCGAAGAACAGAATGTTGGGACCAGGTCTCGCCAGAACCTTGCTGGTGGAACAGGTGTTTTTGCAAATTTTTTTGAAGAGATGGCCGAGCCGCTTTCATTGCAGTCTTCAAATCCCAATGATGATAGCCTTGCAAATACTTTAGAGAATGATTGCAGATTACAAGAACAAATGTCCGAGGCAGAGGAAATCAACCCTTGTTTTCATGATGAGCTAAGTCCCATGCAGGCATTTTATGGTGATAATTCTGATGATGATCTGAAAATCCTCGAGCGTTATCGTATGCTTATCAATCAAAATGTTGATTTCAAAACATGTTATGGAGACGAATCTCAGGTAAATTTTTCACTGCATAATCGCTTGTTTACTTAACTGCACTAAAACATCCTAAATTTTAAGTGTATAGGTTCTCTGCTATTGATGCCCTGAATACGTTTCCAAGTAGTTTTTCCTATCCTTTCACTAGTTTTCATTAATCTGGTGCCATTAATTGGCATTTGAATGTATACAGATACCAAAAAAACCTAAGGAATAGACTAAATTTGTCAATAATATTTCAAAGCAACACATCTGTGTTTTATGCATAAAATGATTCAAAATTGTTACTGATAGTTTTCGTATGGTGCATTCATGAATATTTTTCACGACAGGTCCGCTAAATGAATCACTTTTCCACTGACTTAATTGTGTGCAAGCTTTTTGGTAATTTCCTGTTCAGATACCTTTCACTGAGGTTTAGCCAAAATAATTGAGTAAAAATACGAACAAATGCTTCGAAATATTAATGATTATCCTCCATTTTATATGGAAAGCTTTACATATTCTGATTTTATTCTACAATGTGTGCAAGGTGTATCTGTGACTGGTAACTGACTGACGAAGGTTGTTAAATTTGACTCCAAATTAATGGTATAGAAAGGTACTCAAACATTGTAATAGAAATTTTAAAAAATATTCGGGCTGGTAACTTCTCAAACTGACACAAATAAATGAATAAATGCGAATTGTACTGGTTGTTTAGTCATTTTGTGTTTATCACCTAATGACTCATTATTCGATTGAAACTTTAGATTCATCCTTTTTTCTTTTAAGTCAATTATTTGCTTTATTTTCTTAATATTACTGTTCACTGTGTTTATTAGAATTAATCATGTCCCCAGGTGTCGACTTTATAACAATGTTCCCATATCACTTAACGTCAATGGAAGCATCTCATCTATAGCCTATACCTCAATTAGTCGAGTTCCACAAATAAATGAAAAGATAGTAGCAACAGGTGAAAATAAGCAAATCCACAATAAGGTGGAGCATAGCTACAATTGTGATAGCTAGAAGGCGGACATAAAGGTGATCACTGAATCCTCGTCCAATGAATCGACACTGAAGGGATGAAAATATTACTGATAGAAAAAAAGGATGAGAAATATGCTGAAACTACACCGGAGTCCCAAAGTTTTATGGGCATCACAATATTATGATTATAAGCAATAAACTATCCTTGAAACGTTCTCACTAAGTGGATAGTACTGTATCACTGTTTAAAAAAAGTAAAGCTGTTTTTACCATGAATTTTTTTTTGGCATTCATAAGTACCGCAGAAATCCCTACCATGTTCGTGTAATGAATAGTTCTTTGTCTGAATTAAGGGTTGAAAATAAAATTAAGGATGGCCAGATCGAGATATGGCATTAATCCACGAACTTTTTTGACTTTTGATCTCATTCAAATAGACTGTTGAATATTTCGAATGTTTTCATTGACTTCTATATAATTATTCCCTCCCTCCACAATTATATTTATTCATAGTAAGAATATTCTTTTTTTGCCTTGTTTCATTTTGAAGTCTAGTGAGTTAGTCGATCCACTCTTTTCTAGTAGGCTATGTTAATTTTTGGTTATTTTTTGCGTGTGGCGATATGTGAAATGGTAAACTAGTCTTCCTTTGAAACTTTATACTATCAGAAGGTTGTAGTTAGATGAATCAAAGAAATAAAATAATTAATTTCAGATTCCGAAATTTCCACTTAGGTAGTCACAAGCACTGCGACAAAAATTAATTTTTGGTAACCGATATAAACTAGGAAATTATGATTGTAGTTTTGATACAAAGCTGCATTATAGGGGAGCAGGAGTCACAGTACTCTTCAACACTGCACTTATGGTTCCACCTGCTGTTGGACACAAAGCCTTCATGTTGTACGTAGGCCTATCGAGCGAACAGGTGACAAAAGGCAAATGATTGCTGAGACAATCTCCTAGAAAATTCTTGCCCTGATTTGCTCCCAGGATAGACGAATAGAACGTTGAGAGGAACATTTTAAGGAACAATTTCACTGGCCTTCAGGTAGGTTTAGCTTGCCCGGCATCCAACACCTACTTAGATGGGATGTAAAAATCGGTCCTCCATATGTGACTGAGGTCGCGAAGGCTTTCTCTAGCTTGGAACGAAGGTAAACAGCAGGACCTAATGGAATTACTCCAGAGGTGTTTAGGGATGATGATGATGTTTTGCTGTCTAGGATAAGTAAGGCACTAGGCAACGTCTGGAAATCAGCGATAGTCCCGTTAGACTGGTGTAAGTCACTGATTATCCCAGTTTATAAGAAGTGAGACAGGTCTTCCTTTGATAATCACAGGTTGGTAAGCTTGACTACCAATATGGTATCTAAATTTCTAGACTGAATAATCATGCGTAGATTAAGCGGCTCTCGGGAGGAAGGAACGCTAGAGAAGCAGGCAGATTTTAGACACCCTTCGATGGACACTGAAACAATGGCATACTTACTGGCGTCCAACGATTGCCGTATTTCTTAACCTGAAGGCGGAATTTAACTCCGTCGATCGAGAGGTATTATGGCAATGTTTGGCGGTGAAGGGAGTGCTGAGAAAATGCATCGCACTGATCAATGGACTCTATTCAAACTCATGCAGCTGTGTAAGAGCTTATGGAGAGCTGTCATCTGAAGTAATGATTAAATTCATCAATGATGTACTAGTGGAATTTAGCCTAATTGACTTCAGTGACTCGGATTGAGTTTTTACCAGGGAATAGTCTCGTTGACTTAGAATATGAAGACGCTGACAAAGTGCAAAGTCTTCTGAACAGCCTGAGAAGCAGCAGTCTTTGAATGTTTGGTATGCGGTTCACTCTTGTCAAACGTAAAATGATGAGGCTACAGAACTGGACTACATTGACTCGCTCCTAGTGTAAAGATAGGAGGGTGAAGTGGTGGAGCGTGTTGACCACTTGACTTATTTGGGAAGTTTCATCAGCCAACGCCAGTGGGTTGATCGCTGACGAAGTCTCAGAGTGGATATAAAAAACTTTTGGAATTTGCCAACTTACTCCATCTCCGGCATAGACGTCATATCTGGATATCGACCAAAGGGCAAAAGTACTGCTCAACTGTTGACTCCATCTTCCTTTATGTCTATGAACCATGGCCATTGAAAGTGGAAGAAATGATAAGGTTAGCTGTCTTTGATCTTAGGTACCTGTGTTCTATCTCCCGTATGATGTGGTGGTATAATAAGGTGAGTAATACTGAGGCTGAGCGTTGAGCGTTAGATAAAGAGGGAAAGTCAATGGGTGAGATTGTGTAGGTGAATCGATTGAGGTGGCTAGGATAAGTGTCACGCATGCCTAGTCATCGCCTTCAAACAGAGTTCTCACCATATTATACCACTTAACATGGGAGAAGGGTTGCAAACACTTATGATCAAAGACAGCCAACATCTCCAAGTCTTCCACCTTCTTTACCTTCTCTGCGACTCCTTAACCTAACGCCTTTTTACTTTTTTATTGCACGGTTTTCTTGTCGTTTTTCCTTATGTAGTCGGTAAATCTGTCTGTTTATCCGAAATAAATAGCGATATAGTCGTCTAAAAATCAATTTAAGTATATTTCTCTCACCATCCATAAACAAACACATATTTAGAAAATCCTATCTAGTAATCTGCCCTTTTTCATTTCTTCCTAGTCATATTCACTCTTCAAAATGAACCGATTGAGATGACCACGACACGAGTGGTGCATGCCGAGCTATCGCCTTCCTCGTTGAGAAATGTTAGCTGATATAGGATCAGGTTGGAAAAGAGCTAGTGGTGGCCAAATCAAAACCTGGCATCAGTCCTTTTAATCCTTGACAGTTTGTTTGAGCCATGTAGGGAGGTGTAGGCGCTTCGTGGTTGGGGTGCTCGGGATCATAAAACCCAGTGGCTGAAGACAGTTGGTGATATGGCTCGAAATCTTCCTCAGTGGCGTAGATGAATTCACTCTCTGTGATCTGCGCAATCTATTAAACCCTATTGTTTCTTCATGTTACTATTCTTTCTCCTTCAGGTATCTACTTGTTATAGTTCTTTTTAATCTGTTCTGTGGCAAACTAAACTGTTGTACTTCTGTACAAAGTTCTCTGTTGAAACCAACTGGTCAGTCTTCAGGTTATGAGACTAAGACAAAACAACTGTTCAATTGTCTCTCCCCTAGATAGATCAACATGTCCACCAGTTCGCTTGTAAGCACCAGACGTTCTCATTCACCCCCTCACACCTGTTGGAGGCAGAGAATAAGACTTATGTAGGAGAGGCTATGGATGCGTGGTCACATGACAACATTTCGAGAGGAAGATTTCAGTCTACCCATCTTTTGCTGTACCAGGTTGTTTCTTGGGCTAATTTTTAATAATATAATCATATTAAAGTATCTTCTTATACTATTATTATTATTATTGTTACTATTATTTTAAAGCTGGGTCGTTCAACAAATGATAATGCAATCAAGTGTGGTTCATTACCACGCGGTGTCGTCACTGAATACAATCCGACGGATCTAAGTAGTCAGTTGTGTATTTCATATATACACAGAAGTAAACCACCAAAAATATTAGCTAATCGTTTTTTACTTGGCTCTACCATTGGACGTGGTAGTTATGGAAAGGTAATTTATTTCCCTCTTTTGTTTTTGATTTGAGAAAAAATAATTCTTTGTTTGTATCCATTACTCATGTATGTTATTGCCGATGTATTCCATAATCTCACACACACATCGGTGTCTTTCTTAACTATTTAATATTGAGGTAGTATAAGTATATGGATTTATGTGTCAAATATAAGTGCAGCTGATTGGTGTAAATAATCAAACAGGCAACCAATCAAACCTCTGCAAGCCAACACTTGAAAACTAATTTGATGCTCACTGGTGACTGGTTCTATACAGTAGGTCACTCGGGACTCTGGTGAGAGGTTGTGACCAGCGGTTTCCACCAGGTCTGGTAAGACAGCAGTTACTCGCCTGTGACATTAGTTGGCGGTTGCACTATATACCGTGAATTGAGAGAATTCGGAATTCATGGGCCATTAGTTTGGGTCCCAGTGGCTGAATGGTATACTAGCTCGTCTTCTAACCGGAAGGCCCTGAGTTCGAACCTTGGTGTGTGCGCACCGACGAAGAGTCCTAAACTGAGATGAAACAGCTTTTCAGTACTCCTTGGTTTTCCAACAATTCTCCAACTGAATCTACTTAGGTTTTGATCAAACTTGTAAATGGTAGAAAGTCATCTATTCAACCAGTAGAAGTAGCAGATTCGAATACCACTCCACCTTGCAAAACTCGGATAGCTATATATATATATATATATATATATATATATATATATGCATAAAATTGTAAAGCAGGATGAGGAATTTATCGGAAAGAATATACTTTACTCGAACTTTCTTTTTTTGTCTAAAAGACAAGTTGTCTTTGGCCACAGACGTTTTAATTCTATCTCCCCTGTTAAGTAGTGTATAATGTACTGAACAATTTTGAGGTTAATCGTAAAGTTCCATTTAAAAGAGGGGGGAAGTCAGTGTATCAGTCTTTGCAGTTATATCGATTGAGGTGGATTGGACAAATGTTACGTATGTGAAGCCATCGTCCCCCTCAACAACCAATGTTATCTGACATAGAATTAGGTTGGAAAAGAATTAGAACCACTGTGCGTTGGTGGCACAGTGGTTAGGACTCTCGCCGACCATGCACATGGTCCGGGGTTCGATCCCCTGCCGACGCACACCTGATATCTATGGTCGGCCTGCAAAATTTGGGCTACCGATATCACATGCTGAAAATTCCATACCTGTACCAAAAATACGGTGTGGAATCAAGCTGTGATAAAAAAAAGAATTGGTCAAATCAAAACCTGCATAGTGTTGAATGGTGAAGTGATGTTTCCTCTGTCTAAAAATAAGTTACATTGAAGTTTGTGTTGAAGATCTTGTCCAGACAAAGGATCAATGAATTCAGTCATAATTATTCCAGTGCATTATAAACATGTCTCGAGATACTGTTTTTAAAATTCTCTTTAATAAATTCATCAATACAGATATTCATACATTAAGCTTATTCAACTTCCTGATATAATCACACAAACACTAGTTGATTAATTAATTAATTAATTAATTATTTTTAATAATGTTGGAAAGTACATTTAAACCGCTTAAGTCATATGACTTCACTTTCACTTTATCCAGATTAATAAAAGAGCTGGTTGAGAGTATTAAAGGATCAAATTATATATATATATGTATATATATATATATATATATATATATATATATATATATATTAGATTATGGAATTTGTGGGGATTCGGATTGATTACAATTTTTGAATTTCGTCATGAATCAATATACCTGTTAGGGAGAACATTGGAACACTAGACAGCGTTTTCGCCCTATAATTGGGACTCTTCATCACTTTGTGAAGTCGGTTCTTCTATACGGGTCAAAAACTTGACGTGTTACGAAAAGGATTTCCAGCAGGTTGCAGACTTTCATCAAAAGCTGCATTTGCTCCATACTGAAGATCAAATGGCCAGAAAGAATAAGCAACAAGAAACTATGGCAACAAACTAACAGGTGAGAGCCGATTGCTCAACAAATATGTAGGAGAAAGCGGAGATTGGTTGGGCATACATTGAGGAGGCCGCCGAATGAAATCGCACACCAGGCCACTGCTTGAGTGGAATCCGAATGGGAAGCGATGAGTGGGTTATCAGTGAGAGGTTGACATGGAGGAGATGGTGTGGGGAAGAGATGCGAGAGTTTGGTCAATCGTGGGCCCAGTTGAAGAGGACGGCAGAACAAAGTGGAGATGTGTTGTTGAAGCCATATGTTCCACTCGGAATGCAAGGGAATAATAATAATCATTGCGGGCACCCAGAACGCCGCGAGGGATCGAACCCCCACGACCGAGCTCGTTGGCAATTCAGCCATTTTGGCCGTAAGTGTGTGTTATATGCATACCGAGTCATCAGCTCCTCCTGGTTGACAAATATTAGGTAACATAAGATTAGATCGGGGAAGGTTTAGTGGCGGTCAAATTAAAACATGTCATCAACCCATGTAACTTTTAATTGTTGGTTTCGGCCACGTAGAGAAGTACAGACTACCTAGTTTGGGCCCTCGAAACACTAAGAACCAATTGGCTAGAGACTTCTTGTAATATTCCCCGAAGTGCTTTTCAATGGCTTTGATGCATTCACTCTTTATGAACTACTAAATCCACGAAATCCTCATTATTCTCCATATACTTATTCTTCCTCTTGTACATTTCTACCCAGCATAGTTCTTTTGAATTTTCTCTTCTATACCTTTAAGTGAGCTACAACAGAATGTAGCAACTTGAACTGGTGCACTTCTGTGCGAATTTCTATGTTGAAACACAGTCGGTCAGTGGAAATACCCTTGATTTATCCAGTTTCATTTTTGCTTTTTAAGTCCTTTGAGACTACAAGTAATAACTGCTGGAATACCGCTGTCGTAGTGTCTATACATTAGGCTGGTTACTCACTCTTGATTTGATTGATTTACAGCATCTCACTTCTTTCTTGATTCCTCTGCTTTCCGTTTGGAACACAGAACTACAAGCTTCGAAGTTTTAGTATTGGTGGTGGTATTGCGGGCTATTTTTACGTCTGGGGTTGTTAACCTGACGCTAAACTTTCCCTCTTTTCCAGACCTAGTAACGGTTAGTAAACTAGGTGAGATTCAGTAGTGTGTCAACCGAGAACCTACCCGCCTGGATCACGTGTGTGACTGGTGAGCATTCTACCATTGAACCTACAACACTGGGAATCTAATATTCCACGATGAAGTGAGCTAAGCGGTCTGCATTCTTGACTATTTTCTTCAATATGTACGAGATTACTTCCTTACTATTAAGTAGAAATAAAATAATAACAGAAATGTGTTATTCAACAGCCATTTGAAATTTCTTACAGAGTTGGTTACAAGCCATACACCTAGTGTCTGTGTGGGATAGTGAATACTATCACCTTTCTGCCCACCAAACATCGGTAGACGGAGCGGAATTCGAATCCCGAGGCCCTTCTGGTGAGAAGTTAAGTGTCTACTAGGGATATTCAAACAAATGTGACAACGGTGCCCTCCGTCCAACCAACGGTGGTCCTATACTGATAAACAATTTTACATGGCTTGTGAATGCAAATTGTAAGTCGTACAACTGTATAGATTATTTAGTGCTGTTAATTAACTGCTACGAGACTAATTCTATTTTAATATACAATGAGTACAAGTAGTGAGTGCTGAAATACTGTTATCGTAGTGTTTGTATAACAGGCTGGTTAATGATTGAATGAGCGATATATATATATATATATACATATTAGAAGAGCATGTCTCAACAGAAGTGACCCACAGAAGGTTGACTAGACTCGTGAATACCTGCTGAACTAATATCAGAAGGTGCAGATGTGGTTCTTTTGCCTTACCATTCGACTTCTAGCCAATGGGTGTTTCGCTTTTGAATCTCCATCGACTCAATTCACCCTCGGTAACTGGATAGTACCGTCATTCATTCCTCCTTCCGAGTTGGACATACGGCCTCACGCTTGAGTTTTGAAGTTTCTGTAGGAGTTGCTAGTCTCACACCCAACCTTCCTTCTTTTCCGGCTTAAATGAAGTGTAGGAGTGGGTTGGCCGTAGATCGATCGCAGACTCCACGTGTGTGCGGTGTACTAGCATCCTTCCACTGAACCACCGACGCATATGAGTAGTTAAATCCGATCTCACATAACAAGCGTACCTCAAAGTCTGTTTCATAAAAAAAATGTGTTCTTGATTAAATGACTCCTAATAACTGCATTAGAAGATACAACAAATACTGAGTACATCTATCACTAACCATTACTAACTAATCTTAGAATGAAGCGCTTACTCGATTAAGCAATTTAATGGAAAAAAAAAGTTGGAAGCATCCTTGTTATCCTTTTCTACAATGTAATAATAGAGTGTAACAACTGTTGATGGCGATAGACGCAGATTTCATGACAGCCCACCAGTGAATATATGACCTAATCTATCTTGTCTGTCTTGATTATCATTATCTTCATTATTATGTGATTATTGTTTATCTCAATGTAAATTCTGATCACGTGATCTTGATCTTGTATGAGTGTTGTATTCTATCTTCTTACAATGCATGTCAATGTAATTCATTGACCATTTTGTTCTACACCGCATTACTTTTTCAGTACGTTTTTATCCTTTCTTGAATGACAGTTACTTTTGTATTGTTACCTTTGTATGACTGTATTATTTCCTTCCTTTATATTTCAGAAACTTTATTTATTTATTTCAAGCCTAGACTTTGTATTGTCAGTATTGATAGGGGAATAACTAAACTATGTAGTCAAAGTTAATCCCTATAACAACAATCGATGCTTGAAGATGGGACTGTTCTTTGAAATTGTTTTTTAGGGAGAGAGACAGCTGTTCTTGAGATGTTTACCAACATTGTGAAAGCCCCATAAGAAAAAACATCTCAGATAGAATGAAGACATACAATCAGCTTTGGGAACTATTCTCAACCAACATTGGGATTAGACAGGGTTGTCCAATGTCACGATTTCTCTTTAACTTTGCCATCAGTGA